GCCACTATTCGACGCCAATTCCTAGAAAGGATGTTCTCCAGAACAATATGGCTGGCTGTACAAAGTACAGCGCGCTCGGCTTGGTCGATGGTTACTACCAATTGATCATGACAGCGAGTGATTATATGCTAACAGAAGTGAGTACTCCGAGGGGGATGCAATGGGAGTGGCTGGTGAAGCCCCAAAGGCTGTCAAATGCACCAGCACCATTTATTCGTCTTGTAATGCAATTTTTAGGCCCTACCGTGCGTATGCACACACATACTTCGGCGGCATCTTCGTCCACAGTCTTGCGGGACGCGGGAGGACAGAAGTGGAAAGCCACATCGACCATTTGAGAGTGGTTTTCGAGCGCATGCGCAGAAATACGCTGTATGCAAGTGCATCTTAAACGCCAAGGAAGTCGTCTTTTTAGGGTGCTTCACTGGGAAGCGTGGCCTTCGAGCCGATCCCGCTAAGGTCAAGGTCATTGTGGACTGGCCGATTCCACGACTTGCGCGAGTGGCTTGGCTTGGCCTCGCCAACTACTTGCACAAGTATAGCGCGAACTATGCGGAATTGGCACGGCCATTGTCGAAAGGACACAGAATGGTGTTGGGATACCGAGCATCGGGGAGCATTTTATAGGGTCGAAGATAGCCTCCTTCATGCACCAATAACGGCGTCGCCAGACCCCGATCGTCCTTTTAGTGTCGTCTGTGACGCTTCAGACTTTGCCATCATCTATGCACTGCTGCAAGCAGACAAAAAGGGGCGAGATCGGATGACCGTGATCGAATATCGCCAACTTAAAGCTGCGGAGAGGAACTTTCAAGTCCACAACAAGGAATTACTTGAGATGAAGTATGCACTTGTCAAGTTAAGGGTGCACCTGCTTGGCTCAAAGCCGTTTGTGATCGAAAGAGATCATGCGTCCGTATGCACTGCGACGCAGTCGCCTCACCTCTCGCAGTTGATGGTCAGATGGCTCTCATTTTTTGCAGAATATAAATTTGAGAAGAAGTATAAGTCAGCAAAAGCAAAATGCTTTAGCAGATGCGCTATCACGCAGATTGGACTATGCGCTTGCTCGTGTCACGACGGTGACGTCGTCAGTGACGGATTTGATCCGCGCAGCATACGCGGGTGATGGTTTGTGTGCGGTGCTACTTCAGACTCTCGGGAGCAAGGAGTTTCAGAACTCGGACAACAAATTGTCGTCGCCGTTGCGCGCTCGGTTGCACAGATATTCTTTGATTATTGGGTTGTTAATATAACACAAATTCAACGGATACGCCATGAATTGTGCTTTATCACGATGAGGATTTAAATACTGTTTTCTCTATGAGGCCCACCACACCCCTGGTCATCTCGGTCGTAAGAAGACGTACAGATCGGTGAGTTGCCAATTTTGATGGTCCAAGCTGTACAAATGGATAAGCACATATGTGCGCGCGTGTGAGACATGTCAGAGGGTGAAACCCTCTCCGAAAGCGGGGCGCCTCCAGCCGGTTTACCGGTCCCTCCAGGTGTTGACAGTCCATGAGTATGGACATTGTGTTTGGCCTGCCGAAGAATTCGGCGGGCAACACGCGTGTGGTTGCCTTTGTGGACCGTTTGATTAAGATAGCTCATCTTGCGGCAGTGCCAACGTTATCGATGGTGTGGGTACAGCGACGCTGTTTGTCAATCGTGTCTTCCGACAACATTAATTTCCGAAGTCACTTGTAATAGAGACTCGCGCTATACTGGGAAGATTCGGTCTACAATCTTCAAGGTGCTGGGCACCGAGTTGATGATGTCAACAGCGTGCCATCCGCAGACCGATGGTCAAACTGATCGCGTGAAACGCGTCGTTGCATACGTTGTTCACAGCGCTTGGGCTCTTTGGACGCCCAAGCGTTGGAGCGAGGTACTCTAAGGGTTTGCTTTGAACGATGCAGTGCATTCATCTACCAGCTACACGCCGTTCTACGTGAGCGAGCTTGTTAATCCTTGCGTTATTTCTCGCGTTACGCTAACGCCGCCATCCCATGGCTCAGAACTTTGTAGAGGAGGGATAGCCGAACGGCTTGCTGATGTCAGTCTCCTCTCTGTCTGTAGAAAAGTCGAAGACCTTTTGTTTACCAGACTGAGTGTCGTACGACACGTTCGCGATGCGATGACTGAAAGCCAAGACATGCAGAAAGAATATACAGATGGAAAAAGCAGAGGACATTGAAAAGTTTGAGGTCGGAGACCTGGTTTGATTAAATGCTCAAAACCCTCATACTCATGCAGTTTCTGCTGGCTTCAAGACGAAGCACCACCACGATTTATTGGACCTTTGAAGGTCGAGGCGAAGCGAGGCCTTGCGTATACGCTGCACCTCCCGAGAAGAATACGCACCCGACAGTTGTTTTTGTGGGTTTAATTAAGCCGTACCGGGATCCGGCGCAAGTGAACGCGGAAGCGTTGGCCAAGGGGTGGCGCCCAAAGGCGCTCTGCCACTCTGAAGTTGAACGAGCGACTGGTTCTGAGCACGGAGGGAAACAACTTCTGTTTCGAACGGCGCAAGGCGCTCCACCGTCCCACGAAGGGACGTATTTGCCTTCTCGACGACTAGAAGCCGCTCCGATAGAGCACGGTAATCCTAAACGCGAGGCAGTCGGTGCACAAAGCGATCCAGGCACCCGAGGTCTTCTGGAAAGCTGAAGGCGACCTCGGGGAGATGCTCAGCTGAGTGTCTATGACGACGGACTTTTTCGTCCAAAGCTCGAAGAGCATCGCGAATCACCGGCCAGCGATCGAACAAGTCGTCATCGTCCGCCGCCGACTCTTTTTGATGAGAATGGTGTCGTCGACTACCACATGTAACTCCGTGTGGGTCGACGTCGTCGACAGTGTTTATCCTGATATGTTGTGAAGTGGCGAGATCCCCAGACTTCGAGAATTCATGAGAGCTTGAGGTTCCACTTCGGCATGACTAACTAGACGTCATAGACGCTCATGATCAGAAGGATCAAGATGCTTTGAGTCGTCGTGCGCCCCGCGCTTCTCGGCAGTAGTCCGGAAGGCCGGAGAGCAATGAGCTGAGATCAAGTTATGGCACTGAGCTGCTGTGGTCGTTGACGCACCCGTGTGAGAGCCCACCGACCTCTCGGTGGCGTTATAGATTGTCCCATGTGTCGCGGGCGACAATACGCAAGAAAGTTGGGTTTGCGTTATGAATTTGGCAAACTCAGATCTAAGATGGCGCTCAATGCGGACGTCCACTTCCTTGTGGCCTCGCTGTAAAGTTGACAGCGCGAAAAGTTTTCTTAAAGACCCCATCATCATCTGCAGCGATTTCACCAAGGCAAACTCCACCGGGATGGTACGCACTGAGGATACAGAAGCGGCTTTTTGAGATCGAAGTCGAACGCGGTACCGATCCACTGGGATATCTTGGGAAATCGAAAAGCGAACTCGCGGAGCTTTCCGCTGATCAAGCTCAGCTTGTGTAGTGGCCGCGGGCCCGACCATGTAGACGCCTAACGATAGAGTGATCGTGTCTTTCTTCTCAGTAGCGGGCTCCGCCGAGCGGAAGCCGTATTCCACACGAGGTTCTAAAACTGAACTTGGATATCAGCGCAGGAGAGCCACCCTGTGGGCATCCTCCAACAGTTGCTCCTACGCCTCGTCGAGGCGATGGGTAACGTTATCACTTCCCTGGAAGCGGACCGGTTGGGAACGGACATGGTGCCCGCAACCTTTGAGCTGGGCTCACATCGCGCTTAGCGCACTTCATCATCCTCGTCTTCTCATGCTGGGAAAGTAGTATCCGACACTACCTCCTCCAGCTCCTCGACGAGGAATTCCGTCGCCCGGGGCGGGTACTTGTGTAGCGCTCGTTCACCGAAGGCTTGGGATGTGCTTTCCGTGAACCCGCGAGCGTACTGTCCGGAGATGCACCCCGGGCGCCCTCGCTAACAGCATGGTTGGGTGTCTTGCGAGTCGTTGACATATGGCTCGTAGAGCGGAGAATGTTTCAAGTTGTTCTGAAAGAACGTGACGGTGTCTCAGACACGCAAGCCTCGTATGAGGCGACCATTAAATGTGACTTGGAGATATTTACAATTTTAATGGGGAGCGTTTAATGGGGTTACACGTACCCTGGTATGAAAGGGCGGGTCGCACAAGATTGTGCGACCGTCCATAGGTGTGTATTACACAGTTTGTGTAATCACACCGTGGTGTGGCGCCCATTGCAGTTTTTATCCACTGCAAGGATAATACATATCCCCTTGGAATATAATAGCAAACCAATAGCTGAGAAGCGAATCGTATAGGTGAGGAAATACACAAACTTTATCATATACTATAAACTGATCTTTTGTGTGTGGTCACCTCAGATGTTTTGTCGTCGATAAGCAGAACAGATAAACAAAAGTCATCATCAAGACGAAACTATCAGAGACACAGAAATCAGATGCATTCATGCCTTTTATTAAAAAGTGTGTCTGTCTTGCCATTTTTCACTAAAATGGATGTGTGATAGTTGGGTGGGCTGGAGACCCCACTGACCTAAAAAGTTTAATACGGAACCCGGTCCCAAAAGGGGTCGGATAGCTCTAAGCATCTCGCGCTAGAGAAAGCTTAGTCCTAGCCTTTGAGTTCCGGTAGCTTAAATATCTATCCATTTTGTGGTTATTGGCGCAAACACATCGAGATAAAGCTTCATCTCCATTGCGGATATATTCTAGGGCAATTAGTTCAAACCTAGAGAAAGTTTTTTTTAACTCAATGTGTACAAACGCGGGAGGACAACTAGCCTCTTATTTCGGTGAATGGATGACTCTGCAATAACAGAATAGAATTACACAACAGTAGTTACCAATCCAGCTCCTCCAAAGCAAAGTGACTGTCACGTAGATCAACACTATATTCGGCGACTCGGCTACTTTTGGTTTCCAAGTTGCTTTCAATTTGTTCTTGACTCCGCGCGTTTTGAGTCATTGCGTTTTGTATATCATAAAGTCATTTATTATGTAGCTGTGCGTCTATTTCGAGCTGATATGGAACATGGACAGAAACAGCTGTAGCTCCTTTGTGTCCATTGTATTAGCTTTTCGCGCCTTTCTTCTACTTTCGCTCTTCTTGTCGTTCTTAACTGGTTTATCGTAGGGTTCGTGCTGCCTGCTTTTTCTCATATGCTTCACTTGTTGACCGTGACGGTGTTTGCTGGTGTAACCGGATTTATATGCATCATCGCAACCGTCGTCGTCGTCACTGTCGGCCATGAATGTCGCAACGGCCGCAAGCTGCGCGCTTTGTTGAAAGTTGGATGGCAAGTCATCCATAAACAAGAGAGGCATATCCTCTTCGTCTATGGTTACGTCCGTAGTGGAGGCATGTGTTGTTGACATTAATGCGGCACTAATTCAAGAAATTTCTATCTTTGGAGTACTGGTGTTCCAATATATTAAATCTATGAAGAACCTTTCAAAACAAAATTATGAGGGTATCAATATCGTTGTCACCATCTGTCCAAGGTTTTCTTTTAAGTAACGTCACCATAGCCAAGCCACAGCATTCTGCACTTCTTCAAGCTGGATAATGCATCATCGATTCAGTCCATCTGCTGTCGTTGTTCCTAAGTTTTTCTTTCTAAACATTGGACTTTCGGTACAGACGAATGTATTTGAAACCACGTTGCAGATTGAGTCACAAGAAATACTGGACACAGGAATTTGCGACGTTGTACAGCTCAAGTCGGGCTATCCCGTCGAGAATCAATTTTCAATTCCATCTCACTCGATCTTTTCACGCTTTTCTATATCGCTAGACCGCCACTATCATATATCGAGATGCTGATTAATGCTCCGCTTTTTCCATCTATACCAGACGAGCCAATGGTGTTAGCTGCAATCTTACTTACGGGTGGTGATCAAGCCATCATCGACTTTGGTGATGACAAGAGAGCCACGTAAAATACAACACATGACCGCCTGTACGATAGCATATGTCCATTTTCGCCTTGCTGAGCGACAACATGCCCTGGGGCCCGATGCAGGATTGAGAACGTGACTTGGTCGACATTTTCACAAACGAAGGTCACTTGCTTGTCTAAAAATCCGAACATCGACCACATACCATCATTTGACGCGTCATTGCCGAAGGCTTACGTATGTACGTACTTTCAAGCGTACACCGAGATCGCGGCAATCAAGATCTCTAAATTCACGGCAAATTCCAATTTTTGTCATTTATTTGAGGGAGATGAGAATCAAATGTACTAAATTGCCAGCTGAATCACCTCTTCCGAGCGTTTCAATTTGCAAGAGTAAATCTCGTTCGTGTCTGCGACTTGCCACGGCTGGGGAAGGTTTGTATAAAAAATTAATATCATAGAACACGGTGATTACGAGACAATATCGAGTGGCAAATGCGTGCAGGTGAACAATATACGAACGCTCTTTGAAGCCGTGTCAAACGAAAATTTAAGTCGCAGAGGCTTAGCGCACTGCCACTCCGTCTGATTAGTATGTCGGCGTAGCACTTGTTGTGCCTCTTTTCATCGCGCAAAAGAGAATTTAAAACTTGAACAATGTCAACAGCTCCCGGAACCTGCATCACGAGATCCATCAAGCCAGTTCTGCTTGATTACCTTGCCAAGTTCGCCCATCATCTCTGTTCAAGTGTGGCCGTTGCTGCCGATGCTACCGCAGAAATCACGCGTGCTCAACAGCAGTAAGCTGGATGTTGTGCAAAGTTGTGATACTGATTTAAGACGTCAAGAGACGTCGTCTCTTGAGACGAGCTCCCCACTATCGCTCACAACTAATTAGCCAGAAAATCAATGGCCACAATAGAGCAGTTGGATAATGCTATGACAGCATAACTTCTAGCAAAACACACTGCTTCCTCTGTAGCTTTGAAGCGACAATAATTCCAAACGAATGATTGACTGGTTTTATTCACCAGCTGGACTCGTAAATATGTACACGGTGGCATGCCAGTCGTCTCAAGTAAAGAAGCACTTTGAATCCTCAAAAATTGCGGGAGGATCTTTCATCCTTCTGCCTCTTCTGACTCAATAGCATCTTTGACGTTAACAGGACCCCTGGAACTCTTCCAATTCATATCAAATTCGTCCATCACGAAAGCGTGTCGTCAAAGCCCACGGCGTTGGTAGCAATAAACGACGTCGTGCTACTTGAATCATGAGCTTCAAAATTCGCCGAGCTCAAGTGAATATGTAAGTATAAATTGGCATACAGTGGAGTAAAACAATAAACATCATGTCATTCGAAACAGAATGAATGGATAAGCCCAGGAATAATTAAAACGGAGATGTTGCAAATCTACGAGCTAATTCCTCCAACTATAATCACCAATTGAGGTAAATCTTGAAGAACTCAAAGGTGACTTTAACGAAAATATTACTTCGTCACAACGACCAATAAAACCGTATCGTTGAACTCTGCTTCGCAAACACATACTAACTCTATCATCCCTAAGAATTCCGACAGTCTTGGTCGCTGGATCTTGCAAAACTTACTTTATACGATCGCAAAGCCAACTCTTTTCAGAAAGCGGCGATGGAGCTGCTCCACAGCCGGTGACGTGTGTTGCACAAAGCTAAAGTTGAAAAGCATATCGTTCGTCTCACATCGTGCAAAAATATTCGTTTTGAACTGAACCTCCACCTCGATATCTAAGCCCCAGACCATAATATCTCATAATATCTAGTTTATACGCGTAGTGAACGTAATGCCTCTGCTCATATGATATATGTATTGTGAGAAAGTTACGACATCTATTGATATTTCTTAAGTTCAGCGTTCCACTACGTTGCACCTTGCTGCCGATATTTGACGGACATAAATGAACAGATTGACTGTTGAGTAATAGCTCACATGTACCCGTCAAACTCGACCGAAGTATATAAATAAAAGTAAAAAAGCGAACGTCGGGTGTTGGACGAAACAGTCCCATCTGTGCCACAGCAACGTTTGCCAGCTACGCTGACACTTATCACTTACCGTTTTACTTGGTTTTGAAGCCCCTATCGCCTTCGTTGGGAAGGCGAGAAGAAACTAAACGGTACCTTCTTGAAACCTTTGCAGGTCGTGTGTGGTATCCCTATCAAGCACGAATCCACTTGAGCCACGATTGTTGGAAGCTAAAGAACGAACTTCACGATGGACCACCTCTTCATAGCTTGGCAGCTCACGGCGTTAATCTCGAGCTTGCTGTCCAGTGGATGTATGATCTTTCTCTTTGTCAGATATCCAAGCTCGAGAGTCCATCCAGGTACAGTGCTCATGTGTATCTTCGTAAGTGTGAGCATCGCAAGCATCATGCGAGTTGGTCTACACGCATGGCATATCCTGCTAGATCCAGACGATAACAAAGGACTCGTTCCAGCGACTTTAAGTAGGATAGCTAACAAAGAGTTGGGAAACGACGCAGGTGCTTTGGAGGACTATGCACCATTTTTCTTTTGGTGTTACTTTTTCTTCAATACGTCGTCGACGCTTTGGTTCCTTATGCTAGCACTAGATCTCATATTCTCGCTGTCTAATCCGTTTTTGCCGTTTAATGCTGATTATGCGAAGCATCATTTCGTCGCGTGGCCTGTTGCGTTACTGTACTGCTTGATATTCCGATTTCTCTTGGGAGAAATCCAGTCGGGTTTAACGCCAAACGTGGTGCTATATTTTGATCTACCCGCGTATATGGTGCTGCTTTATATTGGAATTGCATTGGTTCAGTCCCGCCGTCGTATTCGCATACTCGAGAGCCACGCACATGCAACGACGGAACGCATGGCGAAGCGTATTTTACCATACCTTGGGGTCTTTACCGTCCACACTTTAGTGGCTTTAGTGATATACCTTGCACAACTAGGAACCGGGTTTGGTCGGATAACACCCAACGCATTGGATCAACTATCCCTCGTGCTCGAGACATTGACACTCTTTGCTCTATTCTTTCGTGATGCTGGCGTCTTTAAAGTGTCAGTCCAACCGCGTACAAATGGCTGCAGTCGAGGAGGAATTAACTCATCAAGAACTACGATAGCGCACTTTGAAGCAGCAGGAGGTGGAACTTTCACGTCAATATCTGGGGTACCCGTTCCATCTTTGGACAGTCGCAACGCAGACAAGATTGACGTATCGAACAAGCTTCGTATGGATGTGATGCGGTACATGTCGAAAGGTATTATGAGGTCTATTGAGATGGCCCAAGCTGTAGAACGAAAAGCTTTACGGAGCGATGTTAGTATCGAGTTTACTGGCTCTGACACGGATGCTAACTTAGATGATGATGGCTACTCGAGTGTGAATTTTCATGACTACACTCACGTGGAAAGTATGGGTGTTGTTGTGGTCGGAGAGAAGGGTGGAACGATGCTAAATTTTCGTGATTTTGCTCCCAAGATTTTCCATCGAATTCGCGCACAGTTCAATATCGACCAAAACTTTTATCGGGAGTCCTTCGATCCGTCTCGAATATTAAGTGAACACGGCTCGGAGGGAAAGAGTGGAAACATCTTTTACTTTACAGGTACAGCTTTTCTTCCTGACGTTGTTTTGACATTTTACTAACTCACTCAAAAATTAGCTAACAAACAGTTTATGGTAAAAAGTGTTCCCAAGGAAGAGTTCGATACACTACGAGCCATCTTGTACGCATTTCTTGCCTTGTGATTGCTCTCTTGTCTTTTGTGTCTGATGATATGGCTTTTTCTCATCATTTATTACAGGCCACACTATCATGAATATCTTCAGTCAAATCCGAATACCTTATTGTGTCGATATTTTGGCTGCCATTCAATCTCCCTTCCAATCGGCAAGCGACGTATGTACTTTGTTGTGATGCAAAACTTGTTTAACGAAGGACCGGTCCATCAGCGTTTTGATCTTAAGGGAAATCGGGATCGACGACAGGCAGTAAGCGCGACGACAATGGAGGGACTCATTGAGGTTGCCAAAGACAGAAAAGCTATTGATCAACTCATGATGGACATTGATTTCTTGAAAATTAGTACTGGAATGTCATTGTCGTATGCAAACACTGCTTTGCAACAAGATCAGCTCTGTAGCGACTTTGTCTTCCTTGCAAGTCGCGGTATTATCGACTACAGCATTCTTCTTGGCGTTCGTTATGACGATGTTGAGCAGCATCGATCTCATCACAACGCACTAACATCTCACGATCAGAAAGAATTCTACTACATTGGAATAGTAGATATGCTTCAGCGATACAATTGGCGCTGGACCTTACAACGTTGGTTATTAGGCTGTTTACTCTGTAAAGATACGCATGACGTCAGTGCTGTCCCTGCGAACGAATACGCATCTCGGTTAGCAGATTTCGTGCGGGACAAATTATTTAATATTCAACATGCTGATTCGCTAGATTTTCATCATGTCTATAGTGCAGAAGGTGACTATGATTGTGAGTCTCGGGAACCCAGTTTCGTGTCGTCGCCGCACACTTCGCTCAGTGTATCTATTATGGAATATAAAAATGATACGTCCATGGAAATGCAAGATTTGCCAGTTTTTTCAGCAACAAGTGCCTCAAATCTTGAGCTGTCTTCTTCGTCGTCTTCTCCCTCGGTTGCGTACAGATCGGTGCGTGATTTTCCCGTTGATCTGGTTCCAGAGACGCTAAAGTTTATCGAAGATCTTACTCTAGGTCTGATTTCGTATATTAGAAATAATTAAGTAATGCAACGCTGTTGTGATTGAGTGTTGCTGGCTTTGTCACTTAACTAAAGCAAAGGCTACATGTACCCATCTCGCCAGGCAAAGGAGGGTCAACCTGTGTCATGATCTACATGATACAAAGTCGATATTTAGACTGTGTTTTAATGGACCTACTAGATAATTTGTAGACTGAAGTTTAAGGAAGAAAAGCAGTTAATCATTCCATAGTCTAATCATAAAACATTGAACCTCCCTAAGCCGATCAGTAAGCGAAAACTGTGGACAGCGTCCAAAAACACAACTTTCTGAGGCTAAATATGCACGATATTTGTCGACTTCGTAAAGCAGACGTCCGTGGAACAGGCGAGCTGCTTACCTCATGCATATAGTTTCATGTTGAGCACAGATAATACATATAATATGCTTTCGATTTTTGCCTGAATACACATCACTTTTTAGCAGAGGTTTGCATACATCAGGATAAAGCGAACGGACCCATCCTATATGCCTCTCATTAACTTGGACTCGTTGAGTGGGATCCTTTTTCGGGCAAGGTGCACCGCGCCCATTGCAATTTCAGTCCGACGACCGAGTCTGTATCGTGGAAAACCAGTCGTTCGACAATCTATCCTTGGGAATAAGTCACGCTGAATGAACCATGTCTGCAATTTGTCCGGAGAGAATAAAGCAATTGGCGGTCCAAGGGACGAAAGCAGGTATCGATCGCCAGAAGGCGTTCACCAGTCTTTAAAATACGTTGGTGATAGGGTTTCATGGACGCCCCAACCAGGCGAAGGTGGAGAGCACAACGGGTACTCACCAAAAGCCGCTAATATTAAGTGTCCAGTCCTTCAAGGGCAGGGACGGGAAATCAGATTGAGGCAGCCGTGAAATCGGTCATGCTCTCGGGGAAAGTATCAGTGTGTCGCTGTAGCGATATCCTAAATAGAAGGTCCCAAGCCAATGTTAGAGTACATCCATGAAAAGAAAATACTGACATGTCATTTGTTTCTGCGACAGATCATTCGGGTGCAGGCGTATTTTGTGCATCAGATATTTTATCCACCTCTTATGAGTAGTGAGAATTAGCGGGCAATGTTTAAGCCTCGCTATATCCCTTTGCTGAAATGATGGCGGCCCTCTGCTGGAGGCTGAAAGATGTCAGCTCTATGTAGGTCTCCAAACAGATGCAGCACGCTCCGAGGCCTTTTGCGTTCGTCCATGATTTTCTTGCGAAAATGGATGGCGTAGATTTGTACTCTACGCTTTAGTGACGTACAAATTTCGTGCCGCTAGACTTGGTTGAAGTACGTTGGTGGGTGATCTATAAGCGCACCAGAAGCGCTGAGCATTTGTCACGCTACAGAAAAAGGATTCGATTAGCGCCGTAGAGCACGCTGACAGCAGCGAGATCGATATCTCGCTGCTATCAATGACATGATTATTGTGAGGGTATAGCCAAGCTGTTTCTCAGCGAAAAAGTGCAAACATGTCTGCCCGTTGGTTTTGCATCAATTCGAGATTTGCACCTTACATCGATATTTGTGACGATTAATATCCGCGCTTTACAGTAACTTTTTTGTGACTGGTGCTTGGCACTGCATTGGACACATTTTTCGCTGAACATTCAAATGCAGGTGGTCAGATGAAAAGCGTAAGTCGCGCGGCGAATGACATCCCTTCATGTACTTGCGCGGAGCGGCCGCGTCTAGAACGACACATTCAGACTGATTGCATTTGCGTCAAGTAATGTAGTCCATACCTCTACAAGCCTTGTTCCATTTTTATGCGTAGTCTGGCTTAGCCCCGTGTCCATTTGGCATATCCACGAAGTGATTCCGGTCTTGTGAGGTAGGGGCTATCTGTGCGTCTTGACTCACTGATACCAGCCTAGCTACGCTTTGCAGCAAAAACACGGCCTCTTTTTGCTCAGAGAAGTATCATGCAACGAGTGCAAAAATTCATGGCTAAGGACCAGAATGTGCAAAAGCACCTTGCGGATGGTTGATGCCGACACACAACACATGAATATGTAGTGGGTGGGAAAAGAATCTGGCCGCTGCTAATTCATCTACAAATTTTTCAGTGTCTGTAGTCCATCATACTAAGTGGTGGTTCATAGGTTAGCTTTCAGGCTTAGTTCATTTAGAATCAAAATATAAATTTGCGGGAAATACCAGGATCATGTGATCTACGTCGGCTGGATGAATAAATAACACAATATCACTCCGGTAGTAAATTTGATTGAAAAGCGATCTGTCAAAAGTGAGGCAATTCGTCAGTCAACCCTTGAGTGAGAGCTTCACACGGTTGAGTAGATCAAAGAGCACATCCAGAAATCGATCGTCTCAGTAACGGTCGCACCCAAGACTCTAGCATACAGTCGACGTGCGGTTGATTGCGTAGTGCTTGCGAGAGCCGACCACGGGACTGTCGTCCTCCGTCGATACTACTTGATGAGCAAGGGATGGCATACTTTCCCGGGGCTTGGATGATGAGCCGGCGGGTAAATAAGACTAGAACAAGCATGTAGTAAAGTGGAAGGAATCCCATCGCTGCGAGAGAGGTCCCACTTCTACAACATTTCGTTGGTGTTGTTGCCGCTTATGCCTTAATTATTCGCTACATTCGATAGTAAATGGCGCCCCGCAACAGAACGCGCTTCCAATGAGTCGGTCTCGTTGCAAGCTCAAACTTTGATCGGTAGCTCTTCCAGTCGGTATATCAGAATGAGCTGGGCAATCTACAAATTGATTTAAGGTGGTGAACACCGACCTCGTCGTCCTCAAGCCGTGTACTCTTTGATTTAAGGCATAAGAAGTCGTTCTAGTCAGATGCAAAGCCATAATCTGGGTGATGTGGCTTGTCTTTTTTCCTGAGTGTAAATTAATCGCCTGGTCATTGGCGCTTTTGTCAGAGCATAGTCTCCTGGGGTGACATTGTGCGCACATTTCGCTCCGAATTTGGGTAGAAGGCCGACGCAGTGTGGCGGGCGACTTACAACGTAAATAATCTATGATCACGACGTAACTTCATTTTGAACGATTTTGTAATACGTTGATGTGACGCTGCGACGCTGTTGTGCTTGACTTGTGGCCGGAACGGCTCCGTATGATGAATCAGGTCAATCTTATAGGTTACCATTGGATCCCGTCGTGAAGTACGCGACGGGTCGTTATATCGACCCACGATGGGGCTGTCCATGATGCTTAAAATGCGCGTAAATGTGAGGCGTAACGTAGAGGAGGTCTCGAAAGATCTTGTGGAAAAAAAGCCTTGTCTATAAGTCTTCGTTAAGAAAACGGATACTGGATCGGGGCTCAGGAAGTCACTATGACCGTTTTATCGGAGAATACATCTTCTGTTTCGAGTTGTCAGCCGCAGAAGCTACGCCTTTTTCACGGCATCTAAATCTGTACGTTTCAAGAACAGGTTGAAAACGTGCTGGATGTGACTAATGCTCTAAACAGCTAGCATAAGTATGTGCAATGGAGGGAGGCAAACTTCCGGTGCTGTAGTTGAATTAATATGTGCGCGGTCTTGTGATAAGACAAAATGATTGTGACCCAGTAAGTGCATTTTCTAGATGTGGATGGCGTCGTGGAGTGCGCGCCCTATATGGTCTACACACACATTTCACTTTTGTTTCTCGGGTTGATGCAAGTAAACAGGAAGATTGCAGTGGGGCAGCCGTGGTACTTTGCTTGAATGAAGCTAAGCTATGGTCACCGACCTTGTATTCTTTCCAAGAACCAGAACGAGTGCCTTCAAGAGTACTGAATAACTAAATCAAGGCAAAGGGGCTCTTTCGGTCAAAATTGAAACTGTATTTAATGGTTTTAGCTGCGATAGAGCCGCCAATACCTAAAAAACTAGATTATCCCAATTAGTATGGTAATACCTCATTAATATAGTAATATCTAATTAGTATAGTAAAAGCCAATTAATATAGTAATGCGCATTACGCTGGCAATCCTGACGTGGTGGTTTCTTGTTACGATATAGCCGCACCACGGTATAATTACACCAAATTATAATCCATATATAATCCACACCTATGTACAACCACACCATCCTGTACGACCCGCCCATTCATACAAGGGTACATTTAACCCCGTTACACTCTCTTCCATTACAATGGTGAATATCCTCAATTCAAATAAAACGGTCGCCTCATACGAGACTCGCGTGTCTGAGATACCTTCGCGCTCTAAAGAACAACTTTAAACATTCTCAGCTCTACGAGCCCTGTATCATCGACCCGCAAAATACTCAGCCTAGCTGGTAGCGAGGGCGCCCGCGGGCTAAGTCCTTCTTCTTCTTCTGCACGGGGTGCATCTCCGGATAGTACGTCCGCGGCTTCACGGGAAGCACACCCCAAGCCCTTGGCGACCGGGCGCAACACACGCCCCACGCGACTGATCTCCTCGTCGAGGAGCTGGAGGAGGTCGAGTCGGATACTTCTTTTCCAGCATGGGAAGACGAGGATGATGAAGTGCGCCAACGGCGTGATGTGAGCCCAGCTTAAACCTTACAGACACCACGTCCGTTCCCCAACCTCTCCGCCTCCGGAAGATGTAGAATTATTACTAATCGCCTCGATGAGTCACAGGAAAAGCAACTGGAGACTGCTCACAGGGCGGCTCTCCTGCGCTCAGATCCACGTTCGGTCTTAGATCCTTGTGTGAAATACGGCTTCCGCTCGGCGGATCCAGCTACTGAATCGAAAGACGCGATCACTCTATCGTTAGGCGTCTACGTAGTCGGGTCCCTGGCTACTAAACAAGCTGAGCTTGATCAGCGGAAAGCTCTGCGAGCTCGCTTTTTGGTCCCCAAGAGATTTCAAAGGATCGGTATCGCGCTAAACTTCGAGCTCATAGCAATAACGCACTCATGTACCCGCAATGCGGACAATTCCTGTGGTGCTTGCTCTGGCGGAATCACTGCAGATGATGATGAGGTCTTTAAGCGATGGGTGCAACGGCACCGGAATTCTTCTCGCTGTCCACCTTACAGCGAAGCCACAATGAAGTGGATGTGCGCATTGAGCGCCATCTTAGATTTGATTTTGCCAAACACATAGCGCAAACCCGACTTTCTTTTGTATTGTCGCCCTGCGACATATGGAACAACTTATAACGCTCCCGCGAGCTCGGTAGGCTCTCACACGGGTGAGTTTACGACCACAGCAGCTCAAAGCCATAACTTGATCTCAGCTCATGGCCCACCGGCTTCCCGGAATACTGCCGAGAAGCGCGGGGCGGCTCACCGTCAAGAAGAACTTGTGTATATCCAAGCATCTTGATCTTTCTGATCATAAGCGTCCACGACGTCTAGTTAGTCATGCCAAAGTGGAACCTCAAGCTCCCGCGAGCTCTCAAACTTTGGGGATCCTCGCCACTTCACAAGATATTAGGATAAAAACTGTCCACAACGTCGACTCACACGGAGTTCCACGCTTAGCTGTTTTCATCGAGAAGAGTCGATCGCCGTCCGATGACTCGCGATGCTCTTCGAGCGTCAAAGGTCAAAGTCCGTCGTCATCAGCACTCTTCCGAGCATCTCTCCGAGGTCGCTTACCGTTGTGCGGAAGATCTCAAAAACCTGGAGCGCTTTGTACACCGACGGCTTCGCGTTGATGATAAGCGTGCTCTGTCGGATCGGCTCCTAGCCGTCGAGCTGGCGAATACGTCAATTGGTTCGACTGTAGCGCCTTGTGCCGTCGGACACGGAAGTGCTGGTTTAACTTCTGAGTGGTCAAGCGCCTCCGGCGCCTACGCTTCCGCCTTCACTTGCGCCGCATCCCGGTACGGCTTAATCAAGCCCGCTTAAAGCATCGGGTGGGTGTGCATCCTTTTCGAAAGATTCAGTGTATACGCTGAGCCTCGCTTGACCACAACCTGAAAGGGTCCAATAAACCGTGGACGATGCTTTGTCTTGCAGACAGTAGAAACTGCATGTCTAGGAAGGTTTTGAGCATTAAATAAAACCAGGTCTACGATCTAAATGTATCCAACATTTCTTTTCTATTCCGTTCGGGTAATTCTCTGCACGTATTGGTTTTCAGCCATCGCTTCGCGAACGTGTCGTAACACACTCAGTCAAGTAGACAGGAAGTCTCCAACTTCTTTACGCACAGTTAGGGGCTGACATCAGCTAGCCACTCGGCTATTCCTCCCCCACCAAGTTCTGAGCCATGGGATGGTGGCGTCAGCGGGATGTGAGGATTAACAAGCCCGTTTACATAAAACAGCGTGTAGCCGGTAAATGAATACACTGCATTGTTTATCACAAGCTCTACGAGTGGCAACATATCGCTCCAGCCCTTTGGCTTCTCAGTACGGACGCTGCGAAGAACGTCTTCAACGACGCGATTCACGCGCTCAGTCTTACCATCAATCTGCGGATAATCTGCTGTTGACATGGTCAACTTGGTGCCCAGCACCTTGAAGATTGTAGACCAAAATTTCCAAGTGAAGCGCGAGTCTCTATTACAGGTGACTCCGGAAGTTCATGTTGTCGAGAGACATATTGACAAACAGCGTCGCTGTACCCATACCATCGATAATGTCCGGCACTGCCGCAAGATGAGCCATTTAAATCAAACGGTCTACGAAGGCCACCACAAGCGTGTTGCCCGCCGAGTTCTTCGGCGGGCCAAACACAATGTCCATACTCATGGACTGCCAACACCCGGAGGGTACCGGTAAACTAGCTGGAGGCGCCGCCGCATTCGAAGATGGTTTCACCCTCTGAGACGTCTCACACGCGCGCACAATTGTGCTCGTCCATTTGTACAGGCTGGGCCATCAAATATGACAACTCCTCGATCTGTACGTATTCTTACGACCGAGATGACCAGGGGTGTCGTGGACCTCATAGAGGATACAGTATTCTAAAATCTGATCGTGATAAACCACAATCCGTGGCGTATGGGTTGAATTTGCGCTATAATACATCAACCCAATATTCAACAAATATCTGCGCAACCGAGCGCGCAATCGCGACGACAATTTGTCGTCCGAGTTCTGAAACTCCTTGCTCCCGAGAGCCTGTAGTAGAACTACACACATACCATCACCCGCGAATTCGGCGCGGATCAAATCCATCACTAACGACGTCACCGTCGTGACACGAGCAAGCTCATAGTCCGGTCTGCAAGATACGCATCTGCAAAAAGCATTCTGCTTTTCTGGCTTATACTTCACCTCAAAGTTATATTCTGCAACGAATGAGAGCCACCTGGCCCTCCTCTGCGAGATGTGAGACGACTGAGTCGCAGTGCGTATGGACGCATGATCTGTTTAGATCACAAACGGCTGCGAGCCAAGCACCTGTACCCAAAAATTGACATACTCCATCGCAAGATGTTCCTTGTCGTGGTCTTCTCCGCAGCTTTGAGCTGGCGATATTCGAATACAATCATCCTATCTCGCCCCTCGGCGTCTGCTTGCAGCGACGCGCAGCCGATGGAAAAGTCCGCCACAGACTGCACTAAAAAAACGATCGGGGTCTGATAACGCCACTATTGGTGCATGAAAAGGCTGTCGTTGACCATGTCAAAACCCACCCAATCTCGGTGTCCCAACACCATTCTGTATCCTTTGACAATGGCCGTGCCGTTTCCGCATCATTTGCGCTATACTTGTGCAAGTAGTTGGCGAGGTCAAACCACTTGCGCAAGTCCTTTTGATTCTTTGGAATCGGCCAGTTCACAATAGCCTTGACCTCAGCGGGATTCGCTCGAAGGCACGCTTCCCCATAAAGCACCCTGAAAAGGTAATTTTCTCCGCGCCGAAGATGCACTTATCGACATTAGCATACAGCTTATTCGTGCGCATGCAGTCGAGTACCGCTCTCAAATGGACGATGTGGCTATCCTCGTCTGTCCTCCCGTGCCCCGCACGACTGTGGGGGAAGATATCGTCGAAGCATATCTGTGCAAACGTCTCATGGGCCTGAACAATTACGTCACAAGACAGTTAATTGTTGCTGGTGCGTTTGACAGCCCTTGGGGCATCACCAGCCACTCCCAGAGCATCCCGCTCGGACGCCGTCTCCGGAATATCGCTCGCTTTCATGAGCTATTGGTAAAAAACATCGAGTCGAGTGCGCTGTACTTTGTACAGCCAACCACATTGTTCTGGAGAACACCTTTTCTAGGAATCGGCGTCTGGGTTGGAATGGTGGCAGCGTTCAGCTTATTATAAGTGTGGACGACACGCCACTTGCCGTTCGGCTTCCGGTCACAAAACGTGGGTGTCGAATGGGGAGACTTTCTCTCACGCACCATTCCTGCGTTGTGCTTTGCACAGAAAAAAAGCGACAATGACGTATCCTGTTCCTTGGCAGGGGCCATCGGCGTGTTGCACAGTGTTTGGTTCCCGGGACCAGGTCAATCTCATGGCGCACACCCCGGTTCGGCGGTAGGACCAACGGCGGGTCTTTGTAGACGACGTCGTGGAATTTTTTTTACCAAAGGATAATACGAACCCGAGCGAACCTTCAAGATAGATGATTCATTTCGTGTGCCCGGCGCCCTCTCGGTGTCATCAGGACAGCTTCGTCCAGAAGCGACGACGAGATAATCTCCTCGATCGGTCTGACAATGACCACCTCGGCTAAATAGCCTGCCGTCAAGGCACCGCCAACGCTTCGAAGTACATCTCGTCTAGCTCTCGAATAGCATCCACCGCGGGAATAGCCTTGAGGGTGACGTCGCCGTCTTCCTCTCCCATCATACCGTTGACTAGGGTATATAGTTGTGCGCTATCGTCTACGGTAGAAACACCCTGTAGACAAACCCTGGGTCAGGGTCGACGTAATTCGTCTTGCAGATAATGTACGGCTTTGCCGTCTCTTCTCTATAGAAGTTTTACGGCTCATCAAAAGCTGTTGGAGCACGCACTCAGCGTCGCCCAGTGTCCCCACTCCCTATTCCATCGGAGTCTTGATATTTTTAGCAGCATCCGACGAAGAGCAACTATTTCCGCAGTCTTCGTCCAGTGGATCACGTGCTACTCCACGCAAAGTAGAAGATTCTTGTCCAGAATGCCTCGACCTCGTTCAACCGTGCCACTCTGGCATGAAGCAACTGCTTCGTAACGTGAGCAGTGCTTAGTGGGTTACGTGCCGCTCCACGTTCAGACCTAAAGCCACGCTCGGGGCTCTTGTCCAAAACATCTTTGGAGTTTGTTTAAGTCGGATAATCCGATATCCAGCCCATTGATCGTCTGGGTCCAGTGCCCGCGCTAAAAGCGCTTCTGCTTCCTAGCAGAGGTGGGTTCATGACTCACCAAAGCTTCACCAGGAGATGTGCGCGTAGCGTCCAAGGTCTTTATTCTCCAATCAATCCATGGCTCATGGTGTTCCAATCATGCCATACCAAGGATAAGGTCATACCTGGCATCCAAGTCTAAGCCTAAGCAGCGTTCCAAAGTCAAGAAGCATGACACCGAGGTCCACAGGGGCCCTTGGCACAATGACAGAAATCACACAAGTCCTCGTCGCTACGATTACTGTGACGGGGTCACTAAATCACGGCCCAGTGCCTCAGCATACAGTTGACTTCCTTCAATCGTGGAGCGTTGAGCAGCTAGTCTCGAGAAATCAATTAGGGTTCCCCATGGATATTCAAAGCCCTTCATGGTCGCTTTTACGACCAGCAACCCCGGCTTGCATACATTTTTGTGTTTTAGTGCACAAGGCTCTTCGGAGCTGGGCCTGCTGCCCTCTACCTCTTGAGGCACAACAGAGCTCAATTCCTCCCCATTACGGCGCTTTGCATCGACTGGGTTTTCTCGATTCCCGCGACAAACCAGACTGGCTAGAAGCGGGACGTCGGTGTGACAAACCTTTTACCCGCATAGGGTAGAACCAGTCCCAAGGTGACAGGTGTCTCCACGGACAAAAACATCGTCGGATGTTTACACGCTGCTCGGCAGCTCGAAGCTCTCCCTCCTCTTTCTCAGTATAGCTGAAATTCATTGATATAGGCCCGCTCGACGAGCTCTGAGGGTATGCATTCTAACCGAGTCTAGCCGAATTATAGCTAAATTTGGCATTTAATGCCACGTTTACCGCTTCTTCGAAAGAAGACAGATGCATACGGAAGACTTCCATTCAGGCTACGCCAGTGCGGCGGCCTTCCATAAAAACGGTCCCTGCGACCGCCTCGGGGAGAGGATCTGCTGCCATCCCGGCAATGAGAATTCTCAACTCTTGGACAAAGTCCACCAATTCCATTTTGCCTTTTCGGGCAGCAAGGAAACGCGATTTCACGCGATATGCCTGATTAAGCGGCGAAATCACTCACAAAAGCTGACGCGCCAGTTTCTACCAAAAGGGGAGCGCAAGTTCAACCGAAGCACCGCACGTCAGTGCCCATTCTCCCGCTCGACCCCCGAGCTTTGAGATAGCTAGCGCCACGCGCTGTTGCTCGTTTTGGAGCATGGCGGATGCCATAGTCATCTCGGCCTCTCCTACTCAGAGCAAGAGATTCTCTTCATCCTTACCCTTCAAGTTTTAATGCTCACCATGAGCGACCTGGGTCGGGGGGAATCATCCGTCGTCGACAATGGCGTCATAGACGTAGTCGACGCTGACAGCTTCTGCTGTAAGTGCTGTAACAGAGTTTTTGAATAATTAGAAACGTTTCCAGGCATGCGCTTATGTCCTCAGGCCCTTGCGCAACAAGGTGCTCAACGCCCCCAGGGCCCAGCAGGGGTACTAGCTTATACTTGGCTTGCGCGAGGATGCAAGCAAATATTCCGATGGGTGGCTGCAACGCTTTCAAGAGAGAAACGAGCGGCGTTGCATCAGAATTCATGGTGAGAGTGGTGCAACAGATCTGACAATAATCGATGCTGCCCTTTCTGCGTGTTAAGCAGTCATTGCTCGGTATGAGCTGAAGGATGTGTTCAACATGGATGAAACAGGTATGAATGTTAGCAACGTACTTTACATGGGAGTTCTTTAATTGATGTCTTCGTAGGATTATTTCATTCCATGAATTCAGAAAAGACGAAACCAACATCTATACGATCAATCAGCTAACCGCAATGAATTGAAGCAAAGCAGCTTGGGAGGAGATATAAGTAGCTACTGTGGCCAGTTGTTATGCCACACTGGTCACTTTGCAGGGCCTTCTCAGATATCGGTGCCCAATATGGAGGGCAATTCATTGAAATTGATTTGTACGAAGCTATCCAAAGACAAATGAGCTAGATGGAACAAACTATTATTCGTTATACGAGGTAAGGAGTTACGATATGAGTTATCCGAGGGACGACTAAAATCTTGTAGAACTTAGTATTTTCAAATCAAAAGCTTTTGACTTAGAGCCCAGATGGTGGGTACATACTCATTCTAGTTGATGCGGATTCGAAGAGCTAGAGCATTCACTATCTCTGTGCGAGGTGCACAGCAATCCCATTGCCCCATTGATTTGACAAAGCGGAACGCTCGTTGGTGTTACTCCTGGATTCATGAATCTAATATACGATCTTATTCTAGGTATGGCCTGGCAAGAACGCCACGAGCCATGAATCTGCTTGAGTCGAACAGAGAAGGTACCACGCAGCTTTTTCAGTCGGTATTCGGTAAGTCGTACACCGACCTCTGCTAGCTAATAGAGGAAGGTTTGACATAGGCACGAAGCTGCAATACTTTCGTTCTAGGCATGGAGCTGGATCGCCCAAGGTATCAATGATGGTAATGTTCAGATCCTCGGTCTACTCTTGTATGCAATGTCGACTGTAAGCGGCAGTCTCGATTGATACTTTTGTGGAGAAAAGAAAATGTAAATTTGATTTGCGGTCTCAGAAGTTTACTTTTTTCTGCGACGATATTAAGCTACCATATGTCGCTGTCACCGCGGTTAAATTATGTCAGACAAAAACACGGTTTTTGGCAGGGGCTCAAAGAATACCTCCGTTGAGGTGTGAAATTGTGAAATTGTGTCGTGGTCATCCACGTTTATTTCGCTAGACGAGATAAGCAAATTGCTGGCCCTTGTGGGAAATCTCTGTTAATACAGTCACGAGTATCAGGACCAGGCCCTGCCGTTACAGAAGTTAGCATATTCTTGTCATGGTTCGTTTAAACAGCTAAGTCAGCAACACCGTGCATCGCTTAAAGTACTGAGGTTCACGAGTACGTTTCCATCAATTACATACAGTCATGAGTAGGGTAGTACAAGAAGATTTTGGTTAACTATCTCCGTATCAAACTTTTACGCAGGAAAAGAAATTATTACTGGGTTGTAATCAAAATGAATAGCAAGACCGTGAAATCACGGAACCGGTACGACAGGTACGGGAGGAAAAGCTGAGTTCATCATCATAACCGATGAGTCCGTCATAGTTAATAATGGTTATCGTAGTTGGTCAACAAGTGTATCGTCGAGGCCTGTATATCATTTTTATGCTTGGCGGAGGAATAAAACGACAGTGTCTTGATAGACTTGCCACAAGTAATATTCTCAATTTAAAAATACTACAAAACACCCCACTGTTTCCTCGCTGTAGTTAAATACTACGCAGCACGCTGTTGCTTGCTAAGGAAATGTTGCAACTTCGTAGACACGTTCTTCAATGATAACAATTGTTTAAATTTGGTTGGAGAAAGTAGAATTGCTAACTCGCGCCAAATTTATTTTCAGAAATGCTGACAGCAAGTGGTAAATTATGCTTTTCATAAAACAGAATGTTAGCGCGGTCTCTGTGAAGACGATAAAGCCGTGATGGAATGCTCTGCAGAACAGCATCGTTGGATATACCCTGTACAGCGCTGTCCGCTTGCTCAATGGGACTCATGTGAATATGTGATATGCCCTTGCAGTATAATTTGTCCCCCCCAGAGCATTTTAACACAACCTAATCTGGTATATGCATAGGCCAATTTCGTGATCATGTCTGCCAAAAGTCATGCTGAGTAAGGTTCCCCATTTATAATGAACAATGTCCATGTATCTGTGTTTTGATGAAATGTAGAATATATTTCTTGTCAAAAATTCTACTTCTGTGATGCTCAACAAGAAGCATGGTCGTTTGGCAAATCATGGAAAATCAAGGGTAAATCAGTGTGGACGTCGTCATAAATCGAGGATAATTGTAGTAGCTTGGCCTGGCCGAAGGATTGGACAAGGAGTGCAAAATGCTTGTCCCCGTGCTCATACCCTCTGTATGCCCTTAATTATTTTGAACATGCTAAACAGAAGATTGGTAGGCTGCTTAACTGCCTCGAGTGCTTCTTTCGCTGACCTTTCGGGACTCGGGGTGGCAATAGACATGTCGCCCTTAACACATTAGCCTTACATATGCGATACTTTCCATCAGGTGATACCACTAGGCATGAACGTGCTATTGTATATGTGTCTCGCCAGCTTAAAGCTACAGACAAGAGCTTTTTTGCTTTCTACATAAGCGTTACATGCCATGGGCTGTAAACCGAGCCTCATATGATGTGTCATTATGTTTTTGATGTCGCTCTACCTCCCCTTATTGAATATCACAGTGATTTTTATGCTTGGAGAGTAGAACGTAAAGGTAAAGCACAAGCTGGTCAGCTTAGCCCGCGCTTTTGTGGCATCCGAATTGAGAATTATCTCATATTACGATCGACGCTCTTATCTGTACGACGTTCAAGTCAGCCACGAAGCTTTGAAAGCATGAAGTTTTGGACTTTTGCACCTTCTTATCCAGCCTGATTTCGCATTCAGCCCGTTCTTTTTTGTCTGAGAGCTTGCTAAGTAATACCATGGTTTAGCTCGAACCATAGGTGTGTTTGAACGTCCTGAACAGGACCTCTAATGCGGAGTTGTAGTAGGGACACGAAACTGCTCACGAAATATATTTGATCAATGAAAGCCGAAAGCTTAGTGATTGATATGCACAAGTGGTGTGAGATATACAAATAGTAAGCATTCTCCTGCGCATGCGTGAATTATGTCAACGTAGACTTTCGCCGCATAACTTGACGTCTTTTGTTAGCCAAATACCACAAGCAAAGTTGTTAGCGGTCCTTCGCAATGAACACTATTTCTGGTCCCGCTGAAGTCATTTCCGATTAAACCGGCATTGTAGCATTCGACGACTGCTTAAGCAAAGTTGCTCTGTCAGTGACAAAGTCGAATGAGAAGGTAAAGTCCGGCTGTTTGTAGACAAGTGTTTTTCTTACTTATTTTACATGTGGTAACTATCTTTGATTAAGATCCACGTTTTAAGCATAATTCTGACGAGTCTGTAAGTTTTTTGGCATTAGCGAGAACACAGCAAATCTCCAGATAGTAATTTTCAAGTGGCGTGCCCCTCAAGTCTCATTAGCGGATCAACCGCTGCTTTGAAGCGACGTATTCTACTTGTTAGACTTGTGTTAAACAGCGTTATTGTTACCTTGACAAGCTTGGCGCTCAATTTTATTTTATAAATGATCTACACTCCCGCGTCTTTCTGACACATTCAATAAGATATTTTAATTTTGTTGGGGCTGGGATGCTGATATCAATCGACTCACTAATAACATGACTGCGCTTCAGGCAAAATTAATGTTTGTATTTTGCAGAGACTGACTTGCATTTCACAAATTTATGTTATAACATGCCGTCTTCACACTATACTTGAATCGAACCATATTGTGTTTGGTCCTGTCACCTTGTCACAACACTACATGTATCGCGCTTGTATATGTTACCGGCTGATATCGCTGCTGCTGATCAATCTACAAAATGTCTCTGAGAAATTGTGTTTCAATAACAATGGAGAAGCGCATAAGTAGTGACTTTTGCCTACGCTTTTTGCTCATTAGTACGCTGGACGTGGGACGTCGACATGGCGATATCCGATCTGATCGAGCAATGTCATCATCACGGCGTAATTTAGTCGTACGCTTCTTATTGCAGGTCGCTGTGAAGTATGTGCTTGTCAATAAGCGGGTTCTGGTCCATGAAATGAGACCTAATAGGTAATGACATTGATCACATCATTATCCCATAGCGGGGAAATTTACCCCTCTCTGCTCTGTGAAAAAGACATCTCCTGCGAGGGTCGGCGTGAGTGTTAAAGGCGTTTGTTGTCTATTCTTTTGAGAATAGCATGTAGCACATTTTTGCTCGACGTCAAAAATTAAACCGGCCTTCTACAATACTAATAGTAGTCCAATGCGTTAATCTCAACAGCCAACATGCTAAAAGTATAGGCCTTAATAATAGTATGTAGCGGTGCTCTATTAGGCTCGATTTCACTAATTTTGATTCTTAAAAAGGTACAAATGTACCTTTGAATAACTCACTGTGTCAGTAGAGACCTGTCTTATCCGTTCTGGAACTCGTATTGAGTAGAGAGGGTCTGTTGATTGGTTTTAAGTGCGAGTCCGACCCTTTTTACTTCTTGACCAGATAAGGTGAAGGCTTAGGGAACTAAATGTATGGGGGAATCCCGCAGATGTAAAATCTGTTATTACCACGACGCTGCTCAGCGGCGAAGAGAACACTATCGTAATAGCTTAGCTGAGGTCCATCGCTTCTGGTGTGCCAGTAGAGCTTTCACCCACATTGCCTTGTGGGTCAAAAATTATTTGATGCGCCATTCACTGCTTTCTTAAAGCAGTCAAGTAAACGCGGAGGTCTGTCATATGGTTTGACGTGGGTTTTGCGCGAGTAAAGCCTTGTCTCATCGAGTGGGCTTTACCAAAAGCCCACAGGACGGACATAATGCGCGTCTCACAAATGCTCATTACTTTTTTGCTTAAAACAAAGAATGCTATACGATGATTTTAACAAACTAAACATTTACTTAATTGTGACGGTGTATGTAGGCTTTCCACTTCTGTCCCCTGGAGTAAAAGCAAAGTTTGGAGGTGCCGAGGGGGTGACCTTGAGAACGTATCGTGTCTTGATGCGGGGATGAAACGTCGTATATTAAAGTTCGTAGAGCTTGAGATTATATGGTTACGCTGCGCATCGCATAGGGCAATGTTATTTTGAATAGAGAACAAATGTTTAGTATCACCGTGAGCTAGCTATTCTTAACATATGTCACTTCTGAAGTAAAGGGCATAAAAAGTATGCATTTACGTAAGCAGCTCTCAGTTCACCTCAAGTGAAGCGTTCGAGACAATTCTATGTGATTCAATTGTCGCAAAAGATAACTTTTACCTCGACATCAAAGACTAGTTGTAGTGTGTTCGCAAAAAGCTTATTTCAGCGTACATACTTGAGCACACCTTGCAAGTGTTGAGTTTGGAATTTTTTATCTTCTCGTCTCGACATGCCGAAATAGTCTTGTGCGTATGTGCGATGCAGCCTATGTGGATATTGCCAAACTATTGGCGTCGCAGGTGCGTCGGACAGTCGCTGATCCATAAAAGACCATCCCACTTGAAGTACTCATTGCATTGAGGGAAATGTCTCATTTATGAGCAGTATATAGTACCCATCCATCAGGTCAGATGTCTGTACAGTATTCTAGCGAATAAATTGTTTTCAAGCACAACCTTTCCAAAAATCGGCAACCCTGCCGATGTTGTGGCTGCATTTAAGTTATCATCAGCATCTTCCGTTTGTCGATAGTTGTTCTGACAGATAGTCAGCATTGCGTTGGTTTTTTTCATCCTCACCAAACTCACTTCGTAATTTGCACACGTTGTGACGTACCACTGTTGGTTTGGTAAGGGCTATTGACATGTCATATGATGTTTGCTTCCTAAACCTAGGTTTGTTTTATGACGCACTTCTCGATATGGGCGCGACACGCGTGGAGGGCCTCTCGTTATCGCGAAGTAAATCCCCCAACAAATAGTTATAGGATCGCGAGGGTCTTTGAGAATAGCTGCCTTCTTCTCGCACTTGGCGCTCTGCAAGTGTCCTCAACGACATCAGCGACCAATGACGAGCTAAAACAATACTTTAGTATTCATAGTTTCAGCTCGGCATTCAGCAATCATAACTTCCGTTTACACCCGCGGGATAACGTTTCAAGCCCAACGTACGCTTCTGTATAGAAAAGTGAGATGAGGCTAACACATTTTAGAAATATCAGGTCTATTGATTTACTAGCAAGCGGTCTTTCTTGCCACGGTCCCAATGATACTTATGGCGATTACTTTACTCGGTGTTACTATCCTGTAACAGGCCACACATAGACATTTCATGCAGGTACCTAGATGTACCTTCTGTATGCATTGTGGGAATTTACAAAAGAATATTTCAGTATGGTGTTGTAAAGTGCATACGTGACATCTAGTATGGAGTCACATACATTCTGTGTGATACAGAATGCAGGTTCCTACTTCGGGATCTGTATTGGTGACGAGACCGACATGTCTTTGTCTTTCGAAGTGGATAGCACTTTTACAGGATACTTTCCACGAAAGCTGAAGCTCAAGCTCCATACACCCAAATTTTGTATAAGTTGAAGATAAGGTTCAACCTCAGTACACCAGTGATTTATCATCGGAATTTCAAGGTTTCGTTAGTGTGGTCTTTAGAAGCCGTCGGGGCGTTTTGCATGTAACAAGGAAGCACAACTCATTATAGTCTTGTTGCAAATGTTCGTTTAAGATATTAAGTCGTTCTTCTTCCCTCCATGTCGGGACTTTCCATCTCCCTTTACGTCAGAAACCGCTTCACGATCGCATAAGCGTGTGTGTTGTCTTTGAGGAACTGTTTGCGAACAGCGCCCTCTTACATCTGTCAGCACATTGAGCGATCTTTTCAAGATATTCGATCTGATTTGACGACGCCGTTATCCAGATCGTCTCGCATTTTATTCCAAACCATACTCTTGTCCTTGTCCGAGCGACACGGAAGAAGTTGGAGTACCTCTCGTTCCATCAGTACTGCAAACTGAGGTGCTGACGCAGGAGATATTTCCTCATTTGTCCCCACATAAGTGGACTCGAGCGGATGCGAGAAGTCATCGGAGAAGCTGCTGTAGCCGGTTTACTGTAGTCGTCTACTTCGGATGATCAGAAGAACCTGGCACTTCGTTTAATGCATGGTGAGATTATAGAATATTGGAAGCAAGTCTCAAACCCTGTCTCTTTGTACAAAGCGATGCATCTGAAGCTGAACGTGTGATGAAGAGAATGAGCATCTCTCACGATGGTTTGACGAGCGAAACGCTGCAATCACTGCAAGTCAACTGAGACCCCTTGCAGCAAGTGTTGTTAGCGATGCCTAACCATGCGGGTTGTGCGAAGCGTTGGGCGTATGGTAAGCATTAAGCAAATCCAAACTGCTTTCCCAGACACGAACACTTCAAGATCGAGCTAGATAAGCGTTTGAACTCTGGACAATCACAAATTGAGTTCCGCACACTCGTATGCAAAGTGTGCTCACTAGTTGTTATCACGACGAACCAGTTGACTTTTTACCGCAAGTTGTAACGTTCATGGCAGGTTTGAATGATGGTCCGATCCAGGATTAACTGTTCCATGAGAACCCAATGACACTGGATAAAGCCATCAACCGTGCGATGCAAAAAGAGTTTAGCATCAAGCAAGTCAAGTTTAATGGCTTCGTATTAAGACAAGCGCGCCAGTCGACCGGTACAAGTGATAGTCCCGAGCAAATGAAAATGTCGTACATCTCCACGCCTAAAATTGAACGTTCACGCAGCCATAGCAAGTATTCCGGTGTGGTAAGCTGGGTCATATTGCTCGGAAGTGCCGAGTATCGTTGCAGAGACGACAACAAAAACAGGGCGCTCTTTTGAAAAACCGCGGACGCTATAAGGTTGTTGACTCGAACGTCCCAAAGCGTAAACAGATGGGACCGACCAGTAGGGGCGGGGCTCCCTACTGTGTCCTAGAAGAGTACTCTGTATGCTATGGATACACTGAACTCTGGCCCTAACGCGCATGATGCCACGTATTTTTCACTATGAGTGTTGGAAATGTCAGTCAAAGTGCGATTTGACTGTCCAAGAAGTCTTTGTAGATGGTTTTTAGAAACCACGTCACCTTCTTTGTTGTAGGCCACAACATATACAAACTCGCTCGAAGTGTCTTATTATTGAACACTTCCTTCATCAAGCCAACTTGTACCTTAATCAGGGGCACGCAATATACTTGACGGGAAACTCGTCTTGGTGAATTTCTTATTCTTCTCTCGGGGTGGGCTTCCTTGGATCCCACTTTTTTTCATACTTTCGTCGCAAATTACTTCCATCCCGATGAAAAAAAGAAAGTCTTTTTCGGTGTCTGACTACTCCACCTCCAGTTGATGTCTTTACTTTTGTCTTCTTGGAGTTGTCCTCTGAACATAGAGAGCCATCGCACACCACAATATTATTTGGAATATTTGTGCCTTCTTCAACAGATGCATACATCCATACCATTTCGTATGTCGTCATCCAGCTCGAATAAGCGCTTCACGACTTGTTGACGACGATCTTCGTATTCATCCAGTCAATGCTCGGTTGATAACACTTTAACATGGCGTACCTAGGATGATATCAATCTTATTATCGAGGTCGAGCTGGACAAACTCGTCTTCATCTTGGAAATGCACTATCCAGTTTTCATTCGCTAAACGAACGATCATATCTCCTCTTACATTGGGCAGGCTAACATCATGCCCAGTCATAGCTTGCGCTCGAACAAAGACGTTGGACGATCTAGTGTCAATCAAAGCTCGTAATTGATGTTATTCGTCTCGTAGAGATAAAAAATTCTTCAAGTTCAGTCTAAGGATTGTTCTATTTGCCGTTGTTGAGCAAAAAGACGCTGAAGTGTTGTCTGGCGAAAGGCGAAATTTTGCAAATATATGCAATCGTCGAAGACGCTATCGACGATGTCATCGATACTGCGGTACTATATGATGAAAAAACACGGAAGAAAATGTTTGACGACCAGTCGTGGAAAGCTTTGAGGACAAACGCTAAGTACGGACGTGTAAGGGAATATGCTGATAAATTCCCAGACAAGGTGCCGGTTTAATTGCCATCTGACAGAGGCATTCGTCATGATATTGACATACTTCCTGGTACGAAGTATTGTATCATCCGGCAGTGGCCATTACCGTAGACAAGTCATTGCAATCGACGAATTCTTTCTACAGCAACAGACGCCTACTCTTGTGCGTGAGAGCAAGTCGCCACAATACGGTCCAACCTCTGTGTGATGAAAGCCACAGGTGATTGGCGCGCTGGTCACGCTTTTAACAAGCTGAACGATGCTACCATACCTGCCTAAACTCCGTTTCCGCGCGAGGCTATGAGCCTTGATGAAATGGTTGGCAATCGATTTGAGAAATCGTCTCTGTCAGATACAAATGCGGGAAATAGAAACACCAATAACTGCAGTCAGTACACCCAGTGGTATGCTGTGGGAATGATTAGTGGTGGTTTGAAGAATACTCCCGCGACTTTCAACAGTATGGTCACGAATCTTCTTCGTTCGTTGAAAGAGTGTGCACCGAGCTACTTTGATGGTACATTCGTTTATTGTAAGAAATAAAATGATAAGTCTGATTTCGGTGATCATCTTGATCATGTAAGTCTTCCAAGAAATGCGAGAGGATAAGCTCTACGCTTACTTGAAAAAGTGCATTTCTTTGCATCTGAGATTCCCGTTCTCGACTACTTTGAAGGTAAGAATGGCGTTTGCGTAGATTCGGAGAAAGTCAAAGCTTTCAATGTTTGGCCTGTGTCAAACGATTTGAAACCTGAGACAATGGTTGGGCTTGGCCGATTATTAGCACAGATACACGTGAATTTACCCAGCGTTGGTGCAACCCCTAACGACTCTTTTAAAGAAGAACGGTAAGTGCGAATGATTAAAAGGTCACCAGGCGGTATTTGCGGACTAAAGGAGAGCTTGAGAGAATTTTCTGTCCTCGAGATTGCAAACCACAAGAAAAAATATATATGGTCTGCGATGCATGTGATATGTCCTCGGCTGTGCGTTGATGCAACACGATGATGAGGGTCGAGAGCAAGTTGTTTCGTATCAGTCGCAACAGCTCCTGCTCGCGGAACGGAACTAT